AGAGAGAGAGAGAGAGAGAGAGAGAGACGTAGTGGCAAATAGGTCGCGTGCGGGCAGGCGGGCGGCTGCGTGTGTGTGCGTGCGCATGGGGGGGCGGGTGCGAAAGCGCTTTCGTTGCGCGGAGGGTGCGCGCGGAGGGCGAAGGCGAAGGGCGAAACCGCGGAGGGCGGGCGCAGAGGGCGAAATCTGAAGGCGAAAGCGCGGAGCGTGGGTGCGGAGAGCGGAGGGCGGGCGCGGAGGGCGGGCGCGGAGGGCCGGAGCGAAAGCAAAAGGAAAGAAGTGAACTCCCGCCCGAAATGCAAAAAAAGTAGGAAAAACAAAAAAAAAAACAAAAAAGAAACGGCGCCTGGCGGAGGGCGGGCGAAGAGGGCAAAATCCGAAGGCCAAAGCGCGGAGGGTGGGTGCGGAGGGCGGAGGGCCGGCGTGAAAGCAAAAGGAAAGCAGTGAAACTCCCGCCCGAAACGCAAAAAAAGTAGAAAAAAAAAAAGAAAAAAAAAAAAGAAAAAAAGGAAAGAAAAAGAAACAAAACGGCGCCCGGCTGAGGCGCGTCAGACGCGACAGATTTTGTATCGGTTCATGCATCATCGGTCAAGATTGTATCACGGCGCGTCAAAAGCGTCAGATTCGTATCCGACATCTCAAAATCTTTGATCGCACGGCCGAAGTTCATCACAGGTGAACCGACACAGCCAGCGGCCTAAAAACTTTGTCATGTTGGTTGATATTTTGGATACTTTGGCTGTTTGAATAGCTAGGACCCGGGGCAGTTCCTTTTGGTGCGGAGTTCGAGGTTGAGGTTTGCGACTGTTTCCTTTCCTTTCCTTACTTTATTTTCTTTATTCGAGTTCTTGGGGTAGGACCAGGGGCCAAGCATTTTTAGTTTCGGCATTTTGAATAGGGCCCGTTTTCCAGGTTAGGTGCGGATTGGGGGAGGGGGTAGTGCCCCTGAACCGGGGTTTCGTAGAAATTTTGATGCCGGACTTCTAGTTTGACTAATTTTGGATCTTGATGACTTTTCAGGTCGTTAACGACTATACCCTCAGTTTTCTTGACGAGCAGCACGAGCTGCGACTACGGAAGGGTGTAGCTCACAGCTACTTAACTAAGAAGGCACGGCAATAAGCCTTCTTTTCGAGCACGTGAACTCGTTGAGTTCACCCTCCTGATGAGACTCCGTTGGTGGGCGGAGCGAAACTGGTTGAGGGACGCCACTGTGCTTGGCTATGGTGGTTATGTTTGACGAGTATTTTGCAGAAGTGCATTCTGAGTTTTTTGGAAATCGGTCGTTTTTGCAACTCTGTGCTTGTCATTCAGCTGCAGGGACTGTTTCGCCGCAGTCTGTCAAGTCTCTCTCTGTCTCTGTCTGTCTGCGTTTTACCTCTTGCAGTTCCGTACGCGCCCGCTGCGCTTTTTTTTCCTTTTTCCCGAAATCGCTTGTGTTTCCAGTTTCTTTTATTTTCAAAATCGCTCATGCTTCCCTTGTTTTTTCTTTTCTCCATTAAACAGATCAGTGCCCGAACAGATTTTCCGTATTTTTTTCTTTCTTTCTTTTTTAAAGGTCTTGATCGACCACGGATCAGATATGAAACTAACTGGAACAGGTACTACACCTGATCGTGGGGGAATGGTCGAGTTTCTCTCT